TTTTCCTGTTTGTGTGGATACAGATTGTCCGACAGACTTGCGTCCGGCATACTTGCGTCGAATCCCGACATCGCGCACGATCAAAGTCCGATCGCACGTGTCAAAAACCTCGTACTTGAATAGTTTCTTTTGGAACGTAAAAACTCATATTTCGTCTTCGATGGCACCCTCCCTGCTTCACCAAGAGTTGAACCGCCGCGGTTCCTAACTCGTTCTTGAAGGATCCATCGCTTATCACGCGCAGGCGACCTTCCAACAGAGGATTAGCTAAGGTGGCTTCCTCACCATGAACCTCGATCTCATCTGGAACCCACCCAAAATAGTCCGTGCAAAGCTCGGCAGCCGTCTGCCACGCTTGAATGATGGATGGGCTGTTGGGAGGGGACGGTTCAGAGGCATGGCCAGTACCTGTGAGAAGAACACTGTCAGATCCAGTGATGGGGCGAATCATAGCGCAAAGAACGTCAGAGGGAAGCGGTGCTGTCCACCATGGACAGGAAGGATGTGACGGCTCTGGTGCGTAGCAACGTGACGTGGTGTAAGAACCCTCAGATCAAAAGTGTTTCCAGGTTGCCCCATGGCGGTGGAAAAGGCCTGTAGTGGGTGACAGCAACCAATTCCAGTCCTCCAGAGGATCAGACCAGGGCCCTAAAGGCTGTTGTAGTGGGTGATGTGGCCCGTTGGAGGCAAGCAGGGCTTGAGACAAGGTGGTCTGCCACAGGTCCCAGTGTTGGCGGGCTGGGCGAACGGTCCTTGGCCATTGGTATGGTGAGCGGCAGCACTCATCCCTGAGCCCATTCCACGCGGAACGACGAATAAACCTGCCATCAGCAGTCACAATGTCAGACACTGTGCAAACCTGGAGGAACATTCGACACCAATTGAGCCATAAAAGTTCCTCTTGGTCAACCTCCAAGTTGATGAAGAGATCCATGAGAAGAGAGTCGTCCGTACAGCGATGGGAGAGAGCGGGAGAGTCACAGGTGACATAGATGTCCAGCTCATGCCATACTCGTTTCATCCACGTGTCTGAAGCTAAGATCGCCATGTTGGTGTAGACTTGTTGCAAGAGTCCAAAGGATGTCCCCGTTTCAAGTTGATGGGCTTGAAAGTTGGCCTCCATATAGTCACCAGTTTTGGTCCTGTTGGCCATATGTCGGAGCAACATCTCAAGATGCTTAAACACTTGACAACCAAACGGATGTGGCAGTCTAAGACCCTGGTAGGGCAGCGGAGCGAATACGACGTCCCGAGGGAAATTACGACATACACCCGCCTTCGGAAGGCACACTTGAAGTACCGGAGACATAATGTCTGTCCATTGCCGTGCGTCCAGGGTGGTTAGCGCCATAGGATACTCCAATTTCTTCATGATGGTCGACCTGATGAGGGGGAGGACGTCATGTTTGTGAAGAAGGTTGGGTCAAGCTGTTCTGCCCAATCCTTGGATTTAGCAATCATCTGAGCCTCGTGAGCCTTAACCGTTTCCTGACCGAGCTGCACAAAACCAAAACACGTGGATACGGTACAAAATCTACGTAAAATCGACTCCACGGACCACAATTGTAATCTCTAAATGCTCTTTACCAAATATGGCCACAAAAGAACTGAACACATAGCAGAAACTCTTTTATATCATGGAAGTGGTACAATAAGCCTCCGTAAGCGGAAATCGTTGTCAGAAGGCGCTATGAGATTTCGACGTTTCACAAAAGGCCTTTCTTAGTTTTTCCTGGTACTAGTCCTACACAGTCCTACACAAGTATTGACTGCTGGGAAACATAAGATCGTGGATGTGGAAATGATCCAACAAAGTAATTCCACTTAGAAAAGTGCTTCTTTATCTATTGTATTTAGGGATGGGCCTTTGTCTGATTGTCGACAATGCCTTCATATCAGCGATCTGGATCAACCAATATTGTGTAATTTTGGCGATATTGGCGAATATTTCTGGACAGCACACTTTTCGCGCGAGCATTTTTCTCCCAAGAGTTCCTGTTTCCAACAAGAAATCTTTTTTTCAGAACACACCTCCAACCATGGCCAAGCTACCACCAGAAGTTGCTTGGCAAGAGCTCCTTGATCTTTCATCAGACGACACCTCTGATAGTGAGGATGAAAAAGAAAACAAAGACGAGGTTACTGCCATGTCTGCTATCAACAAATTCGGAACGAAGATACCACTATTGCTGCAAAAACAATTAGATTGCTTCACAAATGCAAGTCGAGCACAAAGGGTTGTCCAGGATGCAACAACGGTAAAGGCCGTTTTGTTTGCAAGGATTGTTGGCCCGATTACGTGCATGATGATGGTCACAGGCATGATGGCTGAGCAATATGCCAATATTCCGTGCTTCGGCAAATTCTAGGTTGAGATAAATATTTGTTCCTTACGTAGAGCTAGTACATATCCTACGTCTTTTGAAAAATCAGCCTCGAATCAGCCTCTGATCAGGAAACGGTTAAGGTTTTCCAAAGGAGCAAGCATAACTCCCAAAGTGCGTTCCGAGTCATCTGGCTCAAGACGACGCAGGGATTCAGTAGCTCCTGAGAGACCTTGAATTTGGAGTTCAAAGTCGGGGGCAACTGCTTGTTTCCCACGAAATTTCCATTTGCCTGTGCGGGAGTCCCAATCGAAGTCGATGAGCCCCCAAAAGGACTTCTCAGGGTTAATCGCACCACCAGTAGCTCGGATACCCCCCGCCCACAAGGTAGCTGCTGCCTGCACGGATGCGCATATAGCTTCACCCGAGTGATGGACTGTATTGCCAGCCTCAATGACGTCGGTGTCGTCGACAAAGCAAAAGCATTGAGCGGTGACCAATTGTGACTCCAGAGCTGAGAGGCACTCAAAGCCGTAACCCATCGCTTCCATCATGGCTATGAGAACAGAGCTCACCGAGATCCATATGGGAGGGCCTGCTCCATTACCCTGGCCACATGCTTGAAAGTGGATAGCAGAAGGAGGCTGGAAGCTACGATCGGAATCGCCAAAGCCTGTCCGCACGAGAGCATGTTGAACATGGAGGATAAGACTCTCCATGTCAGCCCAAAACGGAGCATCGCAATGATTGCCACCCAATGAACCACACGGTCAAAGCAGGATTTGGCATCATTAGAGATCCACCCTGCCGCGCGTCGTTGGAGAATCAACAGGTCCCAGACCAGACGTTTGGACAGGGCCAGATCGATAGCTTGATGGCGTTTCCGAGAACCACACTGACCGTCCGGAATCAAGGAGTGTTCCTCGGCATATCGCATGGCCGCGCGACCCGCCTTTTTGTTGTTCGCCTGTGCCTCCGAATTCATTAACTGAATAGTGCGCATTTTCGACAGTCGGAAGTCGCCTGCCTTTTTCTAATTGCAAAATTCATCAAGTTCTGCCAGTTTGAGGGGACGAATCCCGTTGCCAAAGGAATATTGCGAAAAAGGGCATCGCAAAAGGCAATAACTGGTGACTGGGCCGCTGCCTTGAAGTGTCCGTTGTGCAACCCATGGGGTTCAGAACCCTTGTCCTCTGGGTTCCGAGACCAGAAGTACACGTGATCAGAAGTCGTAACCTCAAGGTGTACGGGTAAGTGATCCCGCTCCTGGTGAAATCGGCAATGGGAAAGAAAGGCCTTAGTGGCCGGGTCGAGAAGGTCGGGCAGCGCGTAGCGGCCTTCCAATAGGGCAATGGAATTAGGTTCAGCCTCAGCGCCGGTGAATGCTGTATACAAGGGTTCCGCCATAGGTGGAGTCGTATATGGAGCACGCGTCTGGTCGTACCGTGCCGCATTTTCTTGCATACAGCCTTCTTCAACCAGAGCACAATCAGTGATAGTACGTAGCCGTGTAGTGCCATCTGGTAACTTTTCTTCGATCTGAATAGCCCGTAAACCCCCGGTAGATCCCTTTTGTTGGGCGCGACGACGGCGTCTCGCCTCCTCTCGTTGCTTCATTCGTCGTAACCGAAGGAATCTATTGTGGGCCTTCTGGGACTTCCATTTCTTCTTCTTTGCATCCTTTGTCTGAGCCGTAAGAAAGTCCCGTCGCAATTGGGTTGCCTGACGTTTGGCTTGCTTATACGCCCTGCGTTCAGCTGCCAATGCCTCTTCCAATTTGTCAGTTGTCTGCTTCCACGCGTTGCACAGCCTTGTCTTCTTCATCAGGCGCCGAACCTTTCGGGAGCTCACACGGCATCGCTTGCGGCCTTTAAGGAGTAGCTTCCAGAGACTCAATCGATCCCAGAAGTCCTGTAATTTTGGAGACCAAGGAACCTTGCCAGATGAGGTAGTGCGACAATTGCCTTCAGCCAGCCGCCGTACCGTATACATCTGCCTGTGAAGGCAGTTATATTTGCGTGCCAGCGGGAGTGACATCTGTCGCTCATTGGATTCAATACGCTGATTTAGCTTGGTAAGACGAGAAGGGATGTCATACTCCTCGTAACCCAAGTGGACCAGTTGAAGATAGCGTCTAACCGACCGCTTATCCAAAAGGGTCAGTTTGCGAGGTTGGAAGGTAGACTCCTGGGGTTTGAAATTGCCCAAAGCTGTGTTCAAGTCGATATCGATCCATAGAGCCCGGTGATCTGCCTCAACAAACTTGCCAAACGCGTAGTAGCCACCAGCAAGAAACGGAACACCCGATGGGTAAAGATCCCATCAATGGGAACGTTGCTTTGATTTCGTTGATGGGTAGCCGTTGGGGGATGCCTTTTCAAAATCGCTTCCTCCATTCCGCACTCACGGAACCGCTGCCGTATGGAGTCCGGGGAGTTAACCGAAAGGTCTTTGTTAGCATCGATCCCCAGCAAAACTTCGCAACCCTCGTCCCTCCACTTTTGAATTTGTTTGCACAAGTCATCGACAAATGCTTTGCGCGGATCAACCTTACGTTTTATAGAGTTAAAGTAGAGACGTTGTTAGGCCCAAACAGTCGATTCCCCAGTACCTTCTCTGTTTGGCCTATATGCCGAGACAACCACTAGATCACGTGAAATCGGCCGTTGGACCGCCTCATTTACGTCAATCGCCGAGCTGGAGTGGTCATTGCCCCCCAGCGCCTTCAGCTTCTTCCCTTGAAGACGAACATAAGCCCATCGTCCCAGCCCCGTCGAATCGCTACCTGATTCTTTAGCTCGGTGCGAGACCTGACTAAGTACTGTCGCGATGCATCCTCCCCATTGAAAGACTGTAGTTGCCGAAGATCGTGACTGCTCTTTATTATAAGCAACAGCGGAATAAAAACCTTTGTGCTTTGCCTTCATCGTAGCTTGACGCATCCTATCGTTCCACCCATGACGCTCTGGGATAGAGGGCCAAAACGTTTTGGCCTCCGCCAACAACGCAATTCCCACTCGCTCATCTTGCAACCAGGAGTTGATCTGCCGCTGTTTCACATGGTCACCCTCCTCCGGGACGCCGTTAACGTTCTGGAAGGTGACGCGAGTAGCTAGCAAAGAGCGACAGCGATGGTTGTCGCCAAGGCAGTCTCCTGGTGGAAGAGAACGCAAATATTTGTCAAGTGAAGCGTGGGAAACTACACTTGACAGGCCACTAATTCGAGATCTTCTGCCTGCACGCCGTGACCTAGCGGCAGACGACCTGGGGCCTCCACGAAAGCACTCTCAAGTGCCTTTTGTTAGAACAAAGCAAAATGTGCTCTGTTAGAATAAAGCAAAATGTGCTCTATCGTGAGTGCCTTTAGCGCTCAGAACAAACTCTCTGCAATCTAAATTTGTAATTGACTGTACAACACTTTCACGACAATAGTTCTCCTGTGTTAGGTATA